AGGCCTATGACTTTTTCTTAATGGTTCTATCTTTCTTTCTAGTTTTATCAAATACAATTCTAGAGGTGTCCGTTTACCTTTTTATATATGGGTTGTGTCTGTTCCTGGACTGGCTTTTCTTTTCTCCCCAATTATGTCATACAACAGAGGGACCGAAGGATAATGGGCTTCCACTCTTCTCGCTGTTTATATCACCATACCTTTCTACAATTTCAGAAAACATAACCCCTCACCCACTAGGTTATGAAAAGAGCAGAGGAGGCAGAAGCAGGGTCTATGTGTTAATTCATCAAATATGTACCGAGACTCTTTTAAGGTGCACATAGCGCCAGAGGCCAAAGGAACCTGGAGCCAGAGACCTATCAGGCCTTCGGGTCAGGCCTCTGCAGCAAGACAGAACCTGTGCTGTTCTTAGTTTCTGCTCTAAGACTGCAATCATTGCTGCTTACACACGTTCTCTTTGATTCAGATGGACCCCTCATATACAGAATGCAAGCTCTATGGCTGGTGGGCTAATCTTTTCTCACAAAGTGCAGAGTGTCAAGTAAAACAAAAACAAAAACATTACATGAGTTTTCAAAGCATAGGAATTCTACGAGATTCAGAATATATTTGGTAATGTATCCACAGCTTCATAATTTATTTACTAAGTTTAGTAACTTATACTCGCATGTATGTAATAGAAATACATCCAGTCAAAAGACATATTGCTTTAACTGAGGAATTATTGAATAAAAGTCTATAGACCACATGTACCCTGCTGTGTTTTACTTAAACACAACACCCAGAGGGACATTTTTCACTCCAGCACCCTGATGAACATTTATAATCCCATCCAAACCATCAGGTATGGCTCAGCGGCAATGGACCATCATAAACTTTGGTGGAATGCCTCAACATTGAAATCCTAGAATACAGTGGTTTCCAGGAGTTTCTGTAGAGCCATGTATCCCCTTCCTGCCTCGCTCCTCTGTGAAGTCTAGGGTTGATCTCATGCATTTGGTCCTCATCACTCTGCTCACCTCTTTGGGGTTCTGTAGAGGCGCTGGCTTCCTGTCTTGCTCCACTTAAGGAACAGTTGCGGGTTCTTTAATGGTTCAGCTTCTCAGGGAACCCCTTTGGATCTGCAGGCACCTTGGCTGTCCTGTAGCACTGGACCCTGGCCCTTTATGCTTTGGTATCTTTCTGTGGAATACTGTGTTGAAGGCCTGAAGTTCTTTTCTGGTCTCGGTTGGTTGAATAAGTCAAAAATTGAAATCTAAAGCGGCTCATGTATTTTACCTGTATGTTCATTGTCAAGTTTTTCTCAGTCCACAGCCTTGGTTCAGCAGGATGGCCACACACCATGGTGAAGCTCCTTCCTTGCTACAGAAATTTTGTGCTTGGAATATTTTCCCTTCTTTTTGCAAACAGAGTTTACTGAACTCTGGTTATGATCCAGTCAGGGCACACTCCTTTAAATGACTTCCACAGTGTGTGTCCTACCATTAAGCCCTCCCTTCCAAGCTGTCATTTGCTGAGACCTGAAGAACTGTAAGTGTCTTAGGATGTGCCAGACAGCCACAGGTGGGAAGGAGATAAAAGCCTGACTTCTAGATACTACTGGGAAAGCCTGAGTCTTTTGGTCAAATCTGCTTCCTGACATGGTGAAATGGGAAGTCTCCAAGTCCAAGGGTCAAGTCTAGCAACACTCTAATTGCCAGGTTATGCATTTGCTCTGGAATATAAGCCAGGCAGTGATTTCGTTACTGGCTTTTCTGTCTGCTCCATCCTGTGCTCTGCTATCAAGAACTCGTTTTTTTTCTTCAGAGGTCACATTCTGACACTGGCAGTGTACACCAAGAGCTCAGGCGGTGACACTCATGAGGTACTGTCAAACACTGATTGACACCTGGGATGCTAGATCCCAGGTACCCCAAAACCCAGCAAATACCAGCTCAGGGTATGAAGTATATAAATATATGTGATCAGTTATTGTAGAAACAAAAGGACATTTAAAGAGATGACGTCAACTCCAAAGCCCTGGGTTTGTCTCCACCATCTTCGTGATTATCTATGCTGTTTATTAAGTGGCAGCATCCAAACATGCTAACATGAAAACAAATGCATTTACTCAGGTTTGTGATAACATTTGACTAAGCTATAAGCTTAAGGTATTTTTCTTCTAAAATAACTTCTAGAAAAGTCCCCATGCTACCATGCTCTTTGTGAGCTACAATGAAGATGAGTCACATGTAGGATCATGCTGAGAGAGATGGGAGCAGATACTCAGCTTGAGGTACTTTGAGGAGGTGCCATATGGCAGATGGAACCAGCAGATGAGGAAGCTGATAAGAAGACCTCACTGCTAGCACGTTCCATGTTCCTGGTCCTATACTATCTGTCTTCACTCCAGCAGCTCCACAGGAGATCCAACCCTATCTGTGGTGACTTCTCTGCACCAAGAGCAAACCTGTCAGTATAACATGGATTTGGGGGGCATACAGGCTGTCCATGATCTCTGTGTGTCACTGAAGGAAGTATGTGTCTTTAAGCAGGGCACTGACATGTAGACTTCCATACCTTCATCTGAACAATGGGAATGGAATAGTACTTTACTTTCAGAGTTGGCTCAATAATCAAGGAAACTGTTAGAGGAATGCAAAAACCACTGTGAAATTGTCTGAATTGTCTTTGGAGAACAGAGAACCAATGAAAGGAAAAATATAAAGATTTTGTGATGCATATTTCCTCTTCAAAATGTCTTATTTACACTTCAGGCACATTATTTACATAAACTTACTTTCTCTTTTTAAATATTGCAAGATTTCATTTCTGAAATTGATTTCCTAAAGATAAAACCAAATTATTGATACTTTACTACAGAATGACATTTGGCAAAGAAATTAATCAGTGTGCTTCATTAAGCACATTTTTGGAAATTAAATTTTTTTCTAAAAACATTCTATTTTTTCCTATAATTTGTTAAAAAAAATCCCAAGCACGTAATGTTTACAAAACAGAGACTTCTTGTGAGTTTTAACTGGGTAGGCTTTCTCATCCTTCCATATGAAGAGGACCCTTAGAGAAGCCCATTAGAAGATACACAGAGGGATGCTTGGTTCACAGTCTTGAGTTGTCTTCTCAGATGGAATACTAAGAAGCAAACACAAGCCTCCTAACTGTGGCACACAGAAGCCCAGTATATCAGCTCACAATGGAACTGTGCTCTCTTGCTGTTTCACTCTGAGCAAGTGAAAAATAAACAGAGGAAAGACTGAGCTAAGAGAGACTGAGTGTCACCTCTCCTGTGGGGGCCAATGAAGACATACACGTGACCTTATTCTCCTCAAAGCAAGCAATAACTGCTCACTTCTGGCATCTGCACCTGGTGGCCCAGCCTCTGAGGATTCAAGATGGTGCTGATGGACCATGGCATGAAAGACAGTGGGCACCGTACCTCTCTTGGTAATAGGACTGTCTTGTTAAGGGTTTTAGTGCTGTGAAGAGACACCATGACCATGGCAACTCTTATAAAGAAGACATTTAATTAGGGTGGCTCATTTATAGTTTCAAAGGTTCAGTCCATCATCATCATGGCAGGGAGCCTGGCAGCCAACAGGCAGATATAGCTGAGAGTCCTACATCTTGCAGGCAACAGGAAGTCAGTTGAAACACTGGGCAGTATCCTGAGCATAGGAAACCTGAAAGCCACCCCCTACAGTGACACACTTCCTCCAGCAAGGTGATACCCACTCCCACAAAGTGACACCTCCTAATAGTACTACTCCTCGTGAGATTCAAACTACCACACTGACCCATGATTTAGTTTACTGAGTCGAAGAGAGCTGAGGTGACCTACACTCAGATGACCTGAAAGAAAGTGTAGAAAAAGCAATAGATTGTGTCATGCTTTGCAGCTGTGCTCCTATTTAGTGCCAGATACATGTTTTCCTGTCCAGACCCAACAAGTCCCAAGGAGAACTTCGCTCTAACCGAGCAAGCAAGACTTGGAAAGCTGGTGTCCTTCCAGCCATACTCATCTAGAATATTGCTCTGGGCTATTCCACAATGTCCCTGTTACCTACTCAGGAAGCAGTGACATCTGCCTCAGACTAGACTTGTGGAAATATACACAGGGACATGTTTCAGACAACAGTCATTGGTTAAAGTTAGAAACCAGACTTACACAAAAGAGGGTGACTAATAAATGTCACTATCCACTCACAAGGTTGACGATAGACTTACTCAATAAGAGTACCCCGATAGTATTCTCTAGGTCTTTCTGATACCAAGGAATGGCATACGGATTTCATTTTATAAAATAATCCTGGATGGAACTGTGTAATAGTTACACATAAAAATAAAGAAAGAAAGAAAAACTTTCCTTCTACATAAGAACATGCAAAGACATTCTGATTTTACAATGTATATGTCATCCCATTTGAATCTATAGGAATTTACATGTGTGAGGTGAGACAGTGAGGCTAAAGTCTACATCAGGTATGCTATGAATTTCCTGCCTCAGGATCCCTGTATGGAAACAGAATGAACTGTACATGGCAGAGTCTTACAAGTAGTACAGTAAAAATGTCACTTCTACATAAATCTTTGGGTATGCCTTACTCAGGGGAATGGACATGAATGAACAAGGCTTCTAAGCCCCCCTAGAGCAGAACTGTGTTAGAGGCCAGGATACATTTCCAGTTTCCAACACGGCAAACATTACAGTACTAGTCAAGTTCACAGAGTTCACAGTCCCCTCCATTTCCTAAGCACCTGGGCCTGCGTGTTTCCAAACTAAACTTCAAAGCACACTGTGGTCAACATTGGATACTCCTTAGAAAATAAGAGGCCAGGATAGTGGGCGTGGAGAGCCCTGACAGCACTTGGCTTCCCCTGTACCGCCAGGATCTCCTGGAGTGTAAGATGCATATAGATGTACGTTCCTACACACTTCCGGCTGTAGGATATTCAAAAGGCTTCTTGGCATAGGTGTTCCCACCCTGGGGATTCCTCACCTGCGTGTCTGGTGGAAGTGGCACCTCTTCAGGGGGATCTTGGCCACATGCTCCTGCAGCCCCACGAACAGGACACTCTGGCTATGGAGGATCTGCAGGCTCCTGATGGGCTCCCTCCTCCTCTCTGGGAAAAGCTCAATTTCTTCCAGCAAACAGCTGCCCGAGGTCTGACTCAGGGGAGCCCGCACTTTCTTAATGGTGCCATAATCTGCAAAGACAAGACCGGAAGGAAATAAGACTTGTAGGTAGCACAGCCATGCTCGGATAAGCGAAGTATGTGCAAAGCACACAGGCATGGTGACCAGCCCATAACATCATTTGAGCATCTTTCAATAATGCAAAGTCCGCTTCAATGGGCTGAAAGCAAGGATGTAATGATATCACTAGACCCAAGATAAATGATAAGGGTGTTTATTGGGGACCAATTACACAGAAAAATGCAAAGAACCTCCAGAGCTTTTCCTGTTCCTCCTACCAGATCTGCTGACCCACCAGGAAGAGCACTCAAAGGAAAGCCACGCCTTAAGCTCCTCTCTTTCCACTTCTGTCCACCTGAAGCCACACCCAAAGGGGGTGTGGCCACTGTTACAGGTCCACAAACCAGCTGCCTACCATGGGCCCCTCTGGACAAAGGGTTCAGGCACCCGTTTGTCAAAACTCCGCAGTGGTACAATGCAACAGACTTGAGAACAGCTCATCTACCACTGGCCTCCTCAGTAGCAAGCCCAGGAACTAGGGCCATGCTGACCCTCATTGCCGATTAAAACAGCTGCAGAATACCAGGAGAGAAAAATTACAAAGGGACAATCCAGGGTCCCTGCTGTGAGTGTGCTGACTGCTGCCCACGCATGGAAGATACAAAGTGACTGGAGACTCGGAACGTGAATTCAAGGTCATTTTTTGTGAGTTTGAACTTGATCCAAGTCTGAACTGATCCAAGTCTTCCTGACCCCTGGTTCAGGCATGGCAAGGGTCCTCTGCACCACGCAGACTCTGCAGATAAGTCATAGTGATGCCAAGCAGGCTCCTTTTAGCTCAGTGGTTGGCAAACGTCCTAATGCTGTGGCCCTTTAATATAGTTCTTCACGTTGTGGTACGCCCCAACCATCAAATTATTTTTGTTGCTTCTTCGTTACTATAATTTTGCTATTGTTATGACTCCTAATGTAAATATCTGATATGCAGGGTATCCGGTATGTGACCCCTGCGAAAGGGCCATTTGATCCCAATGGGGTTGTGACCCACAGGTTACGAACCTCTGTTTCAGCTCACTCATCAAGGGTTAGTGGGGATAAATATCCCTTGTCACAGAGATGAATGGGAGCTTGAAGGCCACTGCTTCTGGCTTGCAAAATGTCCAGATGTCTTTAAGCACCTCTAATAAGCATAACTGATAACTGTAGTCATCTTGAGTGCAAAAACTGAATAAATACACCATGGTTTCAAGTTACAAATCAGTGATTCTTAGTCTATAAACACAGAACCAGCCTTAGACATTATTTTAAAACAGAAATGAAACCAGGAAGCTTTGGCTTGAAGGAGCTTTAAACGAATAAGTAAAAAAGACTGAAGGAAAACTACTTTACACTTTTTACCTTTATGGAAGTCCTTGGAAGATAAGAATATGTACATTTAAAGAGAAAACACATGTACACATATATATTAGTGTAACCTTACTTAAAATGTAAATCTGAAATATCTCTAATGAACATGTTCCTAAAAACTGGCTACATAATCACGTATACAGTATTAGTAACAACAACAACTAGCTGGTTAAATATATTACTTTTGAAAAATATCCATCATACATGGAAGACTGAAAGGAATGTGTCTGTGTGCACTAGAGAATGGGCAACCGTGTCCATTCAGAAAATTCATGATTCACAAACATAAATATGAAAGACCATTTTGATAATGCCTTTATTCTATAATAAAACTTCTTTCTGACTCGATGATCAGAGTTCAGGGCTTGTGAAAATTCAGTCAGCCTTGGTGATTGCAGTTCTCTCTGCACAGGGCAATGGAGAACACCAGTAAACAGCACGGAGGCCTAGGCAGGGTACCGTGGGAGCTTTGGGGACAAGTGGTGATTTGAATTCGGACTTCTCAGTCATAGATCTCTAAAACTTCCCAAAGACACTGGCAGATGGAGCTTTCAGCATTCCAGGGAGTAACACAGCCTTCCACTCCACTGTGGAACATAACGGCAACAGAGGGGTGTCAGTTTAAGTCAGTTCTCTACTGGGGAACATCACAGCAACAGGGGTATGTTAGTTCAAGTCAGTACTCTGTTGTGGGATATCACAGGAACAAGGGGATAACTTTGATATGTGACATGACTCAAATAGTAAGAAATCACTAGGGTAAAGCAGAACCTTCTAGCCAATTTCTGAGTCAGTGAGGGACAGGACAGGTAAGAGTCCAGCAGCAGAGCGACCGGAAATACTTTGTGAATGTGGAACCCCAGCACCATGTGCAAAGCAGAGGTTTAAACTAGAACATAGTCAACATTTAAACCAAAATCCCTTCTACTGATGATTTGTATTGTTTATGAATTAACAACTATGAAAAACCTGCCAGAGTTAATAACAGCTCTGGAGTCAACCTCCTTGGTATTTAAAATTATTACAAATTTGCAGAAAGAATCAATTTTTATAGAGATTTAGTAATTTGATTCCAATAAGCCACCAATGTTTTAAAAAAAATTCAGCACGTTATTTTTTTTTCCTTTTCACACTCTGTACCCAGTGCTCCAGACAATGGGATCTTAGCATTTGAGTGAAAGATGGTAAGCAAAGATTTAAATATTGGTATGACCCAAGGTTCTGCTGTCTCTTTTTAGCTATGGGCATCTAGTGATACGATGATTCCATTGTAAATTGTCATTCTCTTGGTGTCAGTATTATTATAGGGTGATTCTGAGCCACACAACAAACGCTTAAGTCCATAACCTTCCTCCCGTGACTGAGTCTCATCCATGCTCTGTGCTCACCCACTTCATCATGGTCTTAGTGTCTCATAGTGACCTTGAGTAGGACACCAAAAGGTAAGAAGCCATGTCAATTCCCTGCACTTAACTTAAATTTTATTTTTGCCTCTTAAGCATCCACTTTTCTCCATTTCCTATGCATTATATTGACCTTTCTTTAGCTTTAAAAATTTTTTATGCTTTGCTCTCATCCTTCTGATGTTTATGTACTTTTGTTTTCATATTTCTCAATATTATTTAGTCACTTTTACCTGCTGTTCTTTTCTTACCTACTTCATGGCATTCCTATCCATTCCATTTGAGTACTAATTGTTTGTGTTTTTTTTTCTTTCTCCATTAATATTGCCCTTTATTTCACTCAATTACTGTAACATGCATTCCTCCCGCCAGCCTGATCCTAGAGCTGCATCAATCCCAAATAACACACAGAGACTCTATTAGTTACAATGCTGTTGGCCAATGTCCAGGGCTTCTCATTGGCTAGTTCTGTCTTAACTATTAACCCATGAATATATATATATATATATATATATATATATATATATATATTTGAATTATATTCCCATCTATCTTGCTTCCCTATTGACCAACAGTGCTTTATTCATCAATCAATAAGAGAGATATATACATAGAAGCACTTCCCCCATCATCTCCTCTTTTCTGTCTAAATAAAAAGAAGGGTTTAACATTAACATAATAAAATATATAACAAAACAGTTATCAAGTAGAAACTATAGTTACAATATTTAGTTCATTAACATTTAGCAAGATTTAAAGAAAGTATCCTATCATCTATCCCTTCTGTGTGAGTCTAAAGTCTTATATGTAGCTTATCCTTTATCAAAACTAAGAAAACTATAAATATAACTATCTATCTTAACTCTATCAAAGACCACAGCAGGATAATATATAAACACTAGAATTGACAGAGACATCTCGATACCTGGACAGTCACCCAAAGTTTCTCTGTAACATTGGGGCATCTAACTTCAGCCCATAGGCTACAGTGTATCTGGCAGATTTCTCATCAAAGCATGAAATTAAAACTGTGTGTCTGCATTGGCAGTTAATGTTTGAGTTTTCCACAGAGAGCAAACAATTTCCTAACAGCAATCTTCAAACACTCCAGAAAAAAAATGGGGCTCTACTTCATCGATTCCACCTGATGGACTTGATGCATCTGAACTAACAAGTACCACCCTCAAACTGGTTTGGGACGACATCACTCTACACAACTCCAAACTAATTAACTGATATGGTGCAACTTCCACACTCTGGTCAGAGCTTCAGACAAGGGCTCCAATCAAGATTAGAACTTCAGTCAAGAACTTCAACCAACCATCTCCTGCCAAACAGAGATGGGTACAAATGTTGTAGCCAGTCCACTTGAGACTTTCAATACACTAACATTTTCTTACCACAGGATCCCATGAGGTTATCAGCAGGAAGTAATTTTGAGAATACTATGCCCCCTTTCTCTATTGTTGATATTACAGGATAATTTATACCTGTTAGTGTTAGTTTTCAGTTGTTTAGGATTGGGATTGAAAGGCGGTATTCAGACTTGAGCATCTCTTCCAGACAAGTTTAGGGTTTTGATGGGATAGATATATTAAGGATAAGATATAGGTAAATTATAATTAGTTTATTATCTTCTATATATATGCTGTATATGTGTTTGAGACATTTTGTAGATTGACACAGCTTAGTTTTGTTTCAAGTCTAAATCTCCTCTTTAGACTAAAAGGGATCTCATGTACCCTTAGCACTGGCCATGCCCATTTGAGCATGGTCACAGGTACATGGAGGAGGCAGGGATAAAGGGAGAAGGTACATTTGGCTCTCTCTTGCTGGGGATTCAAATCAGGGCTCAGAAACTGCTGAGACCAACTTGGGTTGCTGGTTTCTCTTGTAAGTACCTTCCACAATAAATAGCCATCCTTACCCTTCTAAAGCGTGCAATTCATATTTCAGGAACAAATTACTAATTTTATTTTCTCTTTAAATAATGTTTTTATAAAATCATTGAGCATTTCATACAGTGTTTGATTATATTCACATCTCCTTCTGCAGTTCCTCCCAGATCCACCCTCCTCACCCTCATGTACCTAACCACCGAAATTTGAGTTTTGTTCTTTTATTTTTAACACATTGAATATGATTTGTGTTGCCCAACTACTCTTGGAAGTGGGTATAGAATATGGTTGATCTACCAGGAT